CTGTTTGACTGTTGCTGTATAAACTGGACATTCAGGACCCACAGGAAAGTGACTGCTGAACTCAAAAAGTCCTACAGGGTCCTTGCTTCGTGGAAGAATCTGCCAGACTTTGTGCAGAACACAGAAAAATGACTGACAGACTGCCAAAGCAGACAGACAGTTTGAAATTCTTGCTTTGCTGAGAAGTCTTCCAGACACACTTACTAAATGTTAATGAACTAAATACTGTAACTATAATTCTTACTTGATAACTGTTCTGTTATATATAATTTGGCTATGTTAAAGTTAAAACCTTTCTTTTATTTTAGACAGAAAAGAGGAGATATTGGGAGATGGCGTTCTGTAAATATGTGTCTGATTGGTCTGAATAAAGCACTGTTGACCAATATGGAAGCAAGATAGGTGGGACTAGAAGTTGAGAAGGATTCTGGGAAAGAGAAACACAGGCAGACACCATGTAGGCCGCCAGAGGAGTAAGAGGTCCGTACCCTCTTTTCTGGTAAGAGAAATACTTAGATTAATAATTATGGGTTAAATACTTAAGTCAGAGCTAGTCAGTAAGAAACCAAGCAAACGGCCAACAGCTTTATAATTTAAAAAAAAAACTTCCAATCTATATTTATCCAAAAACCACACGCAAATTTAAAAGTTTATTCTAAGTTGGAGAATTACTTGCACCACGTAGATAGACAAAGCTTTAACTGTATAAACGCAAACTATAAATGTACTTGAACAATCCAGAAGAAAAAAATAAATTTCATAAGGAAAAGATGAGCAGCATAACCAACAAGCATTTTCAACACAGAAATGTAGTGATCCCTAGATACATGCAGAGAGAGACAGTCTAATTGCTGTATCTATTGCATGCCATCTTGGCTGCTTAAAACAACAGACATGCCTTCTCTCACAGCTCTGGAGTCCAAGTTCAGAATCAGTTTCATTGGCCAACATCAAGGTGGAGACGGGGTCAACACTCCCCTGAAGGCTTGGGAAAAGACTCTTCTTCGGATGCCTCTGGAATATGGTGACTTCGGCCCTCTCAACTACTGGTCACATCACCTCCATCTCTCTGCCTCTGTGTGTGTCTATTATTCTCTGCCTCTCCCTTGTAAGGATGCCTGTGATCAACTTTCTCTTCACCCCTAAGTCCTTCACAATTATACCTGCAAAGTCCATTTTCCAAATAAGACAACATTTCAATGTTTTTGGGGTTGTGACAGACATTTGAAGGGGTCATTATACAGTAATCACAATTAGTAATCAGGTAGATTTTAAACTATTGAGTGTTATTTTCTTTATTGAGAGATTATAGATAACCAAACCAGCGTTTTCAGGAACTAATTGGTGGACTGTTTGAATTATTTTTAGAAAGTAATTTGACAGCACACATCAAACTGCTTGGAATTTGTTCAAGCTTTTTTGCTGTTTACATGTTTTCCAAATGGAGGTGATTAAAGCTGTGAGGAATATAAGAATCATGATATTGCTATAGTACCATGTGTAATAAACACTGCAAGTAACCTGAAGACATGGAATTTCTTTAAAGACACAGTGTACCAATCGTATATTAAAATCATCTCTGAGGGAGGAGTAAACGGTTGTAGCCTAACCTGGTCTTCTAGCAAGTTCCCAGTCAGCCAGGGCTACATAGTGGAACCATGTCTCAAAGAGAAAAGGAAAATCATCTCAGAAAAACTGCCAAATAATAATTAAAAGTCCATGTGAAGAAACACTAGGCATGCAAACAAAAATGTTAAAACACAACTCCAATCTTACTCATTAGGTTTAAAAACAAGTAAATGCCCCCTCAGACATGAAATAGGAAAAACAGACTCCTTCAAATTAGGAGACGCTGGGGGCTGGAGGGATGACTCGGCAGTTAAGAGCACCAGCTGCTTGTGCAAAGGATCCAGGTTCAGTTCTCAGCTCCCACAAGCAGCTCACAACCATCTGTAACTCCAGCTCCAGAGGATTCAATACACTCTTCTGGCCTCCTCGGACACCATGCATACAGGTAATGAACACGCATACCTGAGTGCAAAACCCTGACAGACAACATAAAACAGGCAGATCTTGGTGAGACTTTATTTAAAAGGGTTAGTCGTAGTGGTTCCGGCTTACAAAGCTCTAAGTGATGTTAATTTTCCTCCCTGAAAAGTGTTTCTCGTCCATTCATATCTCTGCAGTGAGCTTCTCTTGCTGCCCCTTAATCCTTGTGTTCTTGCTTTGTTGAGGTTTTTATGATCTGTTCTCCAAGTCACTTGACCAAAGAAGAATTTGCAACGTGGGCAGCCTTGAGAGAATAGAGAACACATGGTCACTAGTATTTTCTCTAAAGTTGTGATGGGACATAAGCATTGGATTTTCTAAACTGCGGGGTCTTGGTAATAGAGTAAATAAACACAACCATGTCTGCAGCTGTACTTGGTAAAACCCTCCATGAGCCTTCTTAGCTTTCTGGCATTGTGGGAAACAAACCCAACAGCTGTTTCTTCAGACTGCTATTCAATGTCTTTCTTGATTCCTCATCCCATGTGTGCTATGAACACTGCCATAACTCATGCCTGAGATGTGGCATTAATATATTCAGATATATATTGCCTAGTAAACAAAATACTTCAAATTATCACTCTGTTTATATTTCCATTTGTTCTTTTGAATTTCGTAGAATTCCCAGGGAGTGCAACCTTTCGCTACCACCTGTCCCTCAATAGTAGAAACTAAATGTCGGAGCCCTCTGTACTTTTTATCTCTTTTAGCATGAAGAGACATACTCAAGTATGACCTCATGTCAGTGAAGAGCACAGTATAAGAAGTGGTCATCCCAAGAGCCATGGGCCACAGAAATCTGAACTACTAGGTTGGAGAGAGACTTGCATTTGGCCTCCAGGAACCCAAGTCTTCCTTCTCTCCTAAATGAAACACCGACTGGACTACAGTTATTCTGCAATAACTGCCACATGGACTATTGTCCTGGGGTGTGCAGGGGCGGGGGTAACAAGCATATAGAAGGTAGCAGATGCCTGAGGACCTGGGGCTGAGGAGGTAGCACAGCACCAAAAAGATAACTCCCACAGAAATTCTTAGCAGCCAAAAGGAATTGGAAAGAGCAGAATTCGAAATGAAGCTAGGAGAATGAGACAGAAACCTAAAGATACATGTGGATAGAGATTTGCTTAACATACCAAGCATTGACCAGGAGCAAAGCAAAGAGAGAATGGGCAGTTCCATGGGTGCTCCTCTACCGGAGAACATCAGGGTCCAAATGTACCAGGATCCAGATGTCTCAGTATTGTCTGGTCTCCATATTGCTTGATTTTGATATTGGTGTCCCTCATTTCTGGATACCGCCTTGAACTTTGGTGAAGCCCTAGACAGAACAGGGGCAGGAAGGTTGACATGACATAACTCACATTGAGTTTCTGCCTTCCTAGTGGAAAAGAAACTTGATTGCTCTCCAACTAAATGTATGGGCTGGAGCCATCCTTGATAAAGCAATACTGAATGGGTGTGTCCATCTGCTGGGCCGCTTCCCATGGTAAGGAGGACAGAGCAGCTGGGGAGAAGGCAGTGGGGTGGGCCTGGGAGGAGTGACCGTGCCGTCTTCCTGAGCACTGCTTGGTGTTCATTGCTGTCTGCCCACCCTGCGGAGGAAGGAGAGCCATGGGCATTGCTGTTGATGCTCAAGCGGCAACGCTTAGCCTTTGACTCTGGCATTGAGCCTCGTCCTGAATAATTCAGAAGAATCTCGTAGCCAAAACGGCTTTTAGTTATGGACACATGAGAAAGTCGGACTGGAAGGGTGAGGCCTGGATTTGCAGAGAAGGAGGAATCCAGAGACTCCAGTGTGGAGCCAGCTTGTGTTTTTCTTCACTGGCCCTATTTAACAGCTCCTCTCAGCATATGTAGCTTACATTACGGGATCCGGCGCATGTAGACTTTGGCTGGGATTTATCCTCCTGGGATCACAGTTTACGGTTGTGCAAATAGACGTGGAAAGGAAGAGCAGACATATAGGCATAGCAAGAGAAAGAAGCCTTTATTGCATTTCTTCTGGGTCATCTTAACTCTGTCCTCTTTGTCTCAAGGAGGAGGCTAAGCAGGAAGAGACGGCATGAGATTCTGCTCTGGAGGAGGGAAACAGCTCCTCAGTGTGCACTGGGAGCTCCCGGGATGCTAAGAGAGAATGGAGGCTATGGGTCCCTTTCTGGCTCTAAGATGCTATCATACCTAGGCAAGAAATACACCACGGTCCATAAATGAGCCCTTCCTCTAAAATGATTTTTTTGTGGCCAAACTCAAAAATGCTCCTTTCCACTCAACAGAACATAGATTTGGGTATGGGCTATGAACATGTTCGATTTTGCTAGTGACCACTGTAAAGAAAATATGTTTAGGGATGGGTTTAGTTACTGTGAAATGATTGGTAGTATGAAATGTTCTAAGTAAACCCAGACTGAGGAAAAATAAAATGGAAATAGCAACAGGATACTGTGAGTTGTTATTTTCAACACTCACTTGGACAGCACATGCAAATTAAGTTACGGATACGTGCAGTTTCCTCCTGTGTGTCTGGTTTTTATTCCATCAACATGTAATAGTGTGGACATACTATCCATCGTACAATATCTGTGTCCCTTCTGCATTTTTCACCATTGGAAAAAAGAAGAGGCAACGGTGATTAATGTTTAATTTTACTACCTGTCATTGGCCACAAACTGTCTAATCTCTGGGGCATCCCCACTTTACAGAGGAGGACAGTGAAGGCAAGCATCTCCCCCAAGGTCACATATGAGAAGAGAGCTTGGGCCTGAGTGACAGCCTCTGATCCCTGTGGTAGTTTGAATATAATTGGCCCCCATAATCTCATAGGGAATGGCACTATTAGGAGGTGTGGCTTTGTAGGAGCAGGTATGGCCTTGTTGGAGGAAGTATGTCACTGTGGGAATGGGCTTTGAGGTTTCCTATGCTCGGGATACTGCCAGGTGTCTCAGTTGATTTCCTGTTGCCTACAAGATATAGGATTCTCAGCTGCTCCTCCATCACCTCGTCTGCCTGCATGCCGCCATGCTCCAGCCATAAACGACAATGGCTAAACCCCTGAAACTGTAAGTGAGCACCCTCCACTAAGAGTTGTCATGGTGTCTCTTCACAGCGACATTAACCCAAACTAACTAACTAACTAACTAACTAACTAACTAACTAACTAACTAAGACAGGTCCCATCTCATCAACTCCACCGAGCTCCCTGCTTGCCTCTTCAGTGTATCGCTGCTGGTGGAGTCACCAAAAGTACCTTTGAAATTTGCTCAGTCTGTCTGTGGGATTGCATGCTGTTGACCTTTCACCCCTTTCCTCAGCCCCTTTCTTCCTGAGGCAGTGACTCTTCTGAAGGTGTGCCAGTTCTGACTTCATTCCACCTAACAGGGTAGAACAAATAATGATCTCGTTAGCATTTTGCGAGGCGTTTCCTCCATCCCAAGGCCTGGATGTTGGCTTCCATTTAGAATCTGAAGCTTCTTCTGCGGGTATCACTGTTAACTCTTCCATTTAAAATCTGAAGCTTCTTCTGCGGGTATCACTGTTAACTCTAAGTGGCAGGTGAGAAAGCTAATGCTTGAATTCATTTACTGAATGGAATAAAGTGACAGCCACCAAACCGCATGGGCACTTGAAATACAGAAGTCTGTCGGGTTCAGGTGCACACTGCTGAAGCCCAGCCATGGGGCATCCTTCAGTCTCCTACACTCTGAGAACATTCCTTGAATAGCTTTATTCCAAGTCTTGCATTCATCTACCTCTAGAACCCAGGTGATTTCTGGGTCCCTCTTTAGCTGTAGATCATTATGTTCAGCTGAGGCTTTCCCATCCCTGGTCTCTTTCCTGCTTTACACAGTGTATTACCTTCAAGCCTACTTTATGCATCTCATAACAGCTGAAGGATTCACTTCATTTCTCCCCTCTTGTTCCCTTCCTCCTCTTCCTCTTCCTCCTTTCCTCTGCTCTCTGTAGTATTGATGATGAAATCCAGGACCTTACACATCCTAGGCAAGTCTTGAATTGAGCTATAGTCTTAGCCCTTGCTGTGTAGTCAGGACCTCAACCTGATGGGCCTCTTTTCTCAGCTTTCCCTGTTCTAGGTATGTGCCACTAAGACCAGCAGGGTTCTTCTTCCTCAAAAATATCTCTTATGTCCCCATCCCAAGTCTCACAGTGTGGCCTGAGTCTATGTTCTCTGAGCCACTCCTTTGAATATAGAATCTATTGTCCAGTCAGTTGACTTGGGAATGGGCACCAAAGGAACCACATGAAGACTGGGCATCTGCCACATGAGAGTCTCGGTCTACTTGAGGACCATTCTTGGAACAGTGTATGCTGACTTTTTTACTATAAAACATTTCTATCTGCAATATATGGATGGTCCATGTGGGATGCTACCCAGGGCCTCCACACCAGCAACCATCTCACTTCAACAACTGCATCTCTAAATCGACTACACACTTTGCCTGAACTGGGGGTTTCATTAGAAATGAAACCCGTGCTTCCAATGAAAACCTTGGGTCAACACTGTTTAGTTTCTGTTGGAACAATTGCATGCATTTTTCGAACATGAAAACAGAAATAACATTTGTATCCAAGACCTCATTTCACAGAAGGACTCACAAAAAACTCATGGCTATCCATGTTACAGTTCATCAGCTGTCACTTTGGAACAGAAGCTTTGTTGGAAGTTAACTTCTGAAGGTATTTTAGTAGTTTTGATTTAAGACCAAGAACTATGGGAATGAAACAGGTTTAAGGAAGGTTTGCACATTCCTGAGAAAGAGAAATAAATTTATGTGCCTATTCTAGCCAGGCAGTATGTTAGGCGTCTCACATTTTCTTTATCTTGTCTAATTCTGACAACAGCTTTCCAAGGTATTTTATTCTTACTTTGCAAATGAGAAATTAGAGGCTTAAAGTCACACAGCAAGTTAGAAAAGAGCCAGTTTTGAAACAAAGTGCTGTCAAATTATAAAGTTATTTCTTCTGCATACGGATGCCTTCCTTCTCCAGCTACTTCTTATAATGAACATTGCTTTTCCATAAATGCATGTAATGTTTAAACAAGCTCTCTGTGGTGTCTATAAGTCATCCTTGAACAAGATGATCTTGCCACATGGTATGACCCAGACACCCCTGGATGAGTTTCCATCGTCTTGGTGGAAGTAGAGTGTGTTGCCATCATACTTATTTTGCTCATGGCTCTGACAAAAATCAGCTTAAATGAGGGATTTATTTTGTCTCAAAGTTTGAGAGTGCAATCCCCATGACAGGGTAGGCATGGCAGTGAAAATATGAGGTAGCAGGTCACATTGCGTACAGAATCAAGAAGCACAAAGAGATGATTGACAGCATCTGTCACATCTCTCTTTTCAGTCAGTCTAAACCCCGTCCCACGATATGGTGTTGCCTGCATTTAGGGTGGGTCTTCCCACTGCAATTAGCCCAGAAACTCCCTCACAGATATATCCAGAGTTTGGTTTCCATGACAACTCTAAATCCATCAAGTTGATATAGGCATCTTAACTGCCTTTGCTTTTAGAATTCCCCAGTCTGCCAGGTAAATTATGTAAGCACCTCTCCAAACTTTTAGACCACCCAATTCAGAACTTCCTGGCAGGACAGTGGTTCTCAACCTTCCTGATGCTGTAACCCTCTAATACAGTTCCTCATGTTGTGGTGACCCCCCCATTATAAAATTATTTTCGTTGCTACTTCATAACTGTAATTTTGCTACTGTTATGAATTGTAATGTAAATGTTTGTGTTTCCCAATTGTCTTTGGTGACCCCTGTGAAAGGGTCATGATCCGGAAGCTGAGAACCACTGCTCCAGAAGCAATTGTTCTCCAGCTTCAATCCGATCTTTGCAGGCTTTATTCGTTGAAACAATTGAAAATATAATAACGTGGAGCAAATTAAACTGAAAGGAAGGGTAACTCTCGTGTGCACACTAAGAACCTCGAGAACTTTAAACCACAAAGTAGGACCTGGGCCGCCTCGTTGCTTTCGGGAGTTCTTCATGTGACACACTTTCATCCCGATGTCCCCATTCTCTGTCACTCGGCTTAAGCTCTCAGCTTCTGGAGCCATCTTGGTCTTCAGAGATGTAAAAGGAAAATCCAAATGGGGTCCTTACACCATAGACTCAGCAAGACAATAAAAGTTGATCTGAGTTCAGTGAACAGATTGGCTGAACATTTTTCCAGTTGTTCCTTTGGAGAACTCGATTTAAACTGTGTTGTGCTAGACACACTGATATGAGATACACATATCTTTTTAAAATGTGTGAATATATAAATTGTGTATATATACCACACACATTGTGTGTGTGTGTGTGTGTGTGTGTGTGTGTGTGTGTGTGTATACAGGCACATGTGCACACACCCACACAAACAGATCATGGTGAAAAGCAGTTCTCTTGTAATGCTGGAAGTTGGCAGGCAAAGCTTCTGTGCATTTCAAATAAGAAAGAAGTTGATTCTCTAAGCTCCAAACAAAATTAACATGCCTTATATCCATATGTATGTGTGTGTATGTATATATGTATGCATGCATGTATGTATATATATTCATAGTGATCCATGAACTTCCCTTTGATGACAAAACATTTTCCCATTTAGGATGCTCCAGGAGTGATGACAGAAAGGCTAACCTGTCTTTTGCTTTAGTAAGCCTGACCACCACGAAAACACAAATCTGGAGATAAAGGCTCCAAATATGGGCTAAGCAATGCCCCGAAGCCACCCCATCCTTCCCTGTCACTGGCTCGCCTTATAAAGGCAGACATTCCTCATCTGTGTGTAATGTTCTCATGAGAGTCCACTTCCTGTGCTGCACTTGCTAATTGAATTCCCCAGTGGGATGAACGCATTTCTTTGCCAGCTTGAGAACGCATAAACTGTAAATATTGATGACAACAGACTCTCATTCCTCCTGTTGTTATTTACTTTAAGATGTTTGCTAGGGCAGTAGTTTTGCATTTGACATTTATATAGGTCACAATGAGCTAATAGCCACCTGCCATTTGGGATGCCTTTATAATGAACGTTATTGAAGTTTGTGGAGAAATTCTCTGGCATTTCTGATTTGCATACTAGCTGGGACAGGGTTGGTTTTCACAATAGTGAAGCTATTTCAGTTTACATTAGTTATATTGTAAAACTAAGTGCTTGATCAGATTCACACGAGGACCCAGTGGCCAGGACCTTGGCTGGGCTGAGCTAAAGCTAATGTCTTCATCACCCTCAGATATACCCTCGGATACATCATCAGGCACTGAAGATGAGCCCTAACCTTTAAGTCAGGGCTTCTAGGAATCTCAGCGTGAATGGCATCTAGGCACAGTAGTAGGATTTCCATGAACACTAACAACCATGTAACAGTTTATTTTCAATTGTTCTCCAAATATCTATGAGTTAAAGGTTTGGTCACCAGCCTGTGACACTATTGGGATGTTGTGGAACCTTTATGAAGTAGGGTATAGTAGGAGAAAGGGAGATCACTTGAGTATATGCCCTCAAAGGGACATTGGCAGCCTACTAGTTCCATATCTCTTCCTACCTCTCAGTCACCTTGAGTGAACACCGTGTTCTACTGCACACTTGCTGCCCCACTACGAGGTGCTGCCCCAATACGCACCAACTGACTGTGATCTGAAACTATGATCCCAGCTAACCCTTCCCTCCTCACAACTGACCACCTCAGATATTTTGTCATATTAACAGAAAGCTAACTGTTTACCATATGTGTTCATTTATTAAAGATTTTTTGATATTTTTAAATTATGTATAGGTGGGGGTGTACATGCATGCAGGAGCCCACAGAGGCTAGGAGAGGGTAAAGGATGTCTTTGACCTAGAGCTAGTTATAAGTAGCAGTGAGCTGCCAGATGTGGATGCAGAGAGCCTGGTCCCACCGGAAAAGCACATACTATCTGTCTGGATGAGCCCATTCAAATCTAGGCTTGCAGATGAATCCTGCATCGTCATATTTTTAAACCTATGAAATGGAAATAAGATATTTGTTATACAAGTCCCATGCATTTATAAATATGTAAGGTCTGAT